ACCGTATGGTATACGCCCTACAAGCGGGGCGGATACGAATTAGAACGGGATCAAACCCGTCTGATCCCATTCTTATCTTCATTTTTTAGCATCACGGACGGGTGGCCTTGCCTCCATCACCGAAACGCTCGAACGTGTCAGGCCGGCTGCTTTGGGAGATTGCGTTGGCCGGACGTTCGCACGGTCATGGGAGCGTGGCTGTGACCTGTATATCGCAACGCGGTAAGTAGCTCGCGATAGTCGCGTCGCGCCTTGCTTTCTGCCTTCATGACGCTCAGCAGTCTCTCACACATGAATATCTTACGCTTGTCATGTCAAGTCTCATCTCATCATCCGTGACACTTGAGCCGTTTCCCCAGCCTCTAGGTCGCGGATGCGACAGCTGGCGGGCAGATTCGGATATAATACGTCTATGAATCCTACCCAGTGAATACGACGGCCTGGATATTGAGGGCAGCACCAAGATTGCACATGGCATAGCGGCATGACAGGAGGACCGGACGATCCGGAGCGAATGCATGTCAACGAGCGTTGGATTGCATTCCTCGCACACTCGCGACCGACCAATTCCTCGCCAACGCCAGCCATTGCTTTCGTTTATCGGTCTCATGTTGTTGATTGAAGGTCTCAGATGTAGACATATAATCACGCACTCGCCGGTGAGTGATCTCTACCTAAACACTTCCTGCCCCACTCAGCGAGTACCTGCAGTTAAACCCTCTGTTATCATCATGTTGTTCGCTTGGCTCCTTGCCCAGCTGCCACTCCAAGTGGCTTTGCCAATCACATTCGGCTTCGAGGCCTCCCTTCGTCTCCTCGCTCCGACGCCCGAGCCTGACCTGCGCGCCCTGGTGGCCGCAGCGTTTGAGGACTACCTCCGCACTCTTCCGTGGACCGAGACTGCGGTCATCTACGATAGCTTCGACTATGGCTACCTCCCGGTCCCGATCCTCCCCGGTCTTCTCGTCGCGTCCCCCACCGCTTTCGTGCACTGGACTACCACCGCGGTCATCTTCGACGAATACGTCTACGGCACTAGCCCGGTCCCTATCATCCCTGGCCTCCTCGTCGCATCGCCCTCTGCACCCGTACATCGGTCGGCTTCTTCGCTCATCTCTGATGGATCTGTCTACGGATTTACTCAATTGCCGCTCATCCCCGGCATTGTCGCCTCGCCTACTACCTCTACGCCCGGCCCGGCCATCGTTCCAACCCCAATTATCAGCACGGTGGTCACTTACTCGACGCTTATCGCACGCTACGCAGTCGAGACCATCAGCGCGGGTACCAATGTCAAGAACATCATATTGCTCTGTCTCTCCGTCGCTATCCTGGGTGCACTTTGCACGATCACCTATGGATCGCGCCGTCATGCCTCCCAGCTCATCAGCAAGGCTCTCGACTTCGGCCGTACCTTGGTACGTCTATTTGCCTCTACTCACCGCCAGTTCGCTCATGCTACACGCAGAGCATCTCTTCGCATCTCATTGCATCAGGTTCAGTCGTTGGTGTAGCTTTGAGTGTGCGCATTCTTTTAGCCCCTTCGTTGCATCTCGGTGTTCTGACGAATCCCTCAGGTCTACTACACGGCGTCCACATGGCTTCCTTGCATCATCACAAGCGCACTTGCCGCAGTATACGTCGTCGCCGAGAACACCTTCACCGCCGCCACCGCCGCCTCCGCCGCAGTGCAACTTGACCTCGAGCGGCAACTCTCCTTCACAATCCAGGCCAAGATGCACCAGTCGAAGCTCGCTCAGTCCTCTGGCCGTCGCTATCGCCGAGAGCGACGCGCACACACGGTCACGAAGAACAAGTTGAGCTCTTCGCGGAAGGGGAGTGCATTGACGAGGCGCTCGCTCGCATCTGTGACGCAATCTTTCCGGGCTTCTTCCGCGCAATGCCAAGACCTCAAGGAGCAGGTGGCGTTCCTTCGTGGGCACGTCAACGAGATCAAGGAGGAGCGCAACAATCTGGTACAGGCTCAGGACGCCTCGGCCAAAGAGCAGGAACAGCGCGACGCTCAGCACGCGCAGGAGATCCAAAGCTATAAGATCCTCGTCGCGACGCTCACAACCTCCAACGCGGCGCTCACATCCTCCAACGCGACTCTGGCGACCGCCAATGCGACCCTTGCGACCACCAATGCATCGCTCGAGAAGCAGTTTGCAACGCTCTCACAGTCGCAAGACGCTCTC